GGGGGGTGGGGGGCGGCTCTGCCCCTCAGCAGGCCGCTGGGCCTGCTCTGTGGGTGGTCACAGTTCCCTCTACCTTGCCGGCGCAGGGGGAGGAGGCGGCTCTGCCTCTCAGCAGGCTGCTGCTCCTCTTCTCTATTTTTTTTCTTTTTGTACCAGGGATTGAACTCAGGAGCACTTAACCACTGAGCCATTTCACAGCCCTTTTTTGTATTTTATTTAGAGACAAGGTCTCACTGAGTTGCTTAGAAGTTACAGGGACTGGCTTTCAACTTGCGATCCTTGTGCCTCAGCCTCCCAAGCTGCTGGGATTACAGGGTGCATCACCGTACCCAGCACTTTTTTCTTTTTCTTTTCTTTTCTTTCTTTTTTTTTTTTTTTTTTTAAAGTCAAGCTTCTTTAAAGAATACTTTTCATGGAATGGCTCCAATTTCCTTATCTTCTGCTTCAATCCACAATCTTCCCCTTTTCCTCCTACTTCTCTGTTGAAACTAAAGCAGATATATATGCCAGTCCTTCTGATTTCGACAAAAGTACATTTAACACTACTGACCAGCCTTTTTTTTCTTTTTTAAAAAGCTATCTCCTCTATTAGTTTCTAAGAAATTATTCTCATAGTTTTCCTTCCTTTACAATGTTTTCTTCTCAGAATCCACACACAAAAACATATCTATATCTGTTAAGATCCAGATATGCATACATAAGTTATTTCCATTAAATATCTTCACACAGATATCCAAAAGATATTACAAACTAAACCACCAAAACTGTTCTCATTTTCTCTCCCAAACCTGTACTTTCTCTTATATTCTTGCTCTAGTTTGGAAAAAATCTAACCAATCTCCAAGTCAGAATCTAACCAGTCAGAAACCTAATATAGATTCCTCCTTTTCTCTAGCTTATCACAAAAGCCTTTTGACTTTACCTCCTAAGTATTCCTCAGATCTACTTTTCCTGTATATTTCTACTACCATTCTTTAGTAACTAAATGAAAAGTTTAGTATAAGCCTTCAGCAACTATTGTTTGGCCATTGCAATAGTCTCATGAGTGGGTCTCTCTGCTTCTGTATTAACTATCCAATTAATCTAATATACCAGGCATTAGCAATCTTTTTCTGTAAAGGGTCAGAGAGCAAATACTTTCAGTTTTGTGAGCCATATGATCTCTGTTGTTACTCAACACTGCTGTTATACAAAATAAACTCTGTAGAAATAATGTGCTTAAAAAATGTTTTTGCTTACTGAGTTCATATGTACCAAGGACTGGGTAATGGGCTATACAGCAATAACCTTCTCAGTATTTGCATCAATTCTCTAAGGGAAATAATATCATCTGCATTTTACAAATAACGTAATAGTCACTTAGCAATTAAGTTAGAGTCAAAATTCAATACCAGGTCTGACTCCAAAGTTCTCTTATTCTATATAAATCCTGTATAAAATAAAAACTAAGAATAACTTGTCAGAAGCATAATGGAAAAACTATTACATATTAGTAATTGTGTATATGAACTTATTTCTTAATAAACATGTGCTATAATAACCAAGTTGTTTAGGTAAAACAACCACAAAGTGAGAGATATTCTCCTTTGCCATAATTTCCTCCCATGGCCTCAAATCATATTTCGTAAGAACCCAAGCAATAATATTAATATGAAAATTCATTTTACCTTCTGTTACTGGTTGGAGTTTAGAAGATCGTTCTGAATCAGGGGAGTGTAGAGGTTCAGGCTCTTTCAGACTTTCCAAATGCATAAAAGGATCATAATCTACAGATGCCAAATCAGAAAGGCTTATTGGAAAGTACTTTGGATTGGTAAAACACTGCGCTCCATAAACACACCCATGTAAAACCTAAAAAACAAGTGAAAAGAACATACCAAGGTTTACCTTTAAATGAAAATAAAGAAAGATAAAAGGAGAAAAACTGTCATATGATAACCCAAGAGTTTGGCAAAAATTTTAAGGATTCTAAACGTCAGGGCTTCAATCATGGTAAAGTTTAATATCTTTTTTAGAGCCAAAAGAACAAGTAAAATTTAAATAGTGATTCTTATAGTCAACACAGATCTAACTCCCTTAAAAAATTCTGTATGTGGCTCAGTGGTAGAGTGCTCGCCTGGCATGCATGAGGCACTGGGTTTGATCCTCAGCACCACATAAAAACAAAATAATGTGTCCACCTAAAACTAAAGATAAATAAATAAATAAATAAATAAATATTTTTAAAAAAATTCTGTATGAAAACAATGGTGTCTTAGAAGGAAGAACTTTTAAATTATCTTGCTGTAGACTAAATCTATAAGAAAATATCTAGATCTGAAACAATAAAATGTTATACTAAAATGTTGTGTCTGTAGTTTTTAAAAATCCTTAACAGATAAATAATATAGCAAGTAAAAAAGTTTACCTTATAAATGCAATTGAGGACTGATTTTTCGGTTTTATCATTTTCTGTTCCTGTAGTATGTACTGGCTGGAGTAGTGTCTTTAGAGGTAAGGCCATGATCCAATCCAGAAGGCAGAGAAGTAAGGATACTACCAACTATAACAATAATAACAACAAAATCATTATAATTTTAAACTTACAGGAGCTCCTCAATAATTCACCATCTTATTTTTGGGTTTCCAAAATTTATTTTAGGAACCACCAATCCTATTAATGTTACCTGGACCTGATTTTTAAAATGTTGCCTATGAACATTATTGTGGGTTTTTCTTTTATATTTCAAGGAAAGCACAACAAAATCTTAAGCATAATAAGAACAGTAATGTTAAAATTGATGGATCCAAAAACCTTAAGTTTCAAAGACAACAGATATTCAGAATGGCTCAGAGAATGCTTATGCGGCATATGTGACGCCCAGGGTTCAATCCTGAGCCCTAGGAAAAAAAACAAAAGAAAGACAGACAAGACAAATCAATTAACTACACTTACCTAATTATACAAATACCAGTTAAAGGATTTGGTCCATACATTTTATAATCACTTCCACTTTCTTCTTCTAATCCTGCCAGAAAGACTACTTTATACAACTTTTAATCTTACTCACTAAATGATTCACTAAATTAATCTTTTCACTGGATACTTGTAAACTATTGGATACTATAAACAACACTTTCATCCAAAACATGGAGCAAACTAGCAGTATCCATTTTATTGGATAAAGAATCACAAATAATAGAAAGAAATAAGTAAACCGTCAAGAAATAAATTGACAATCGAATGTGACAATCAAGTGGCAATAAGAGATCTGCTGATATCTAGGGTTAAAGACCAACTAAAATTCAAGGAGTAATTCTGGCCTAAGTTGCCCAACATATACTCCAAAAGAACAATAAGAAATATAAAACATCACAAAACTCATTCTCTCCATATAACCAGAAGACACAGAATACCTACACTTCAAATTCTCTGTTAAGTAGAAAAATATACAGCAAATCCCAGGAATTTTTTTCCTATTGCAGGCTTTCATGAAGAGGAACAGGAAAGTTTGGTAAAAACTGTAAGAAAAGATGGGAAGCAGCTGCAAACCTAAGACTGATCTATAACCAAGCCAGAAAGAAAAAGTCCATCCTAAGTATGAGAACAATGAAAAAGTATACAGGTACATCCAAGTATTGAGTAGAAAGAAGAGACTTAGTGCACACAAGAAAGGTAATGCTTTAAGGAGAGAAGAGAGAATGTTAAGAGCAAATGCCAACCTGGGCAACATAATAAACCCTCATCTTAAAACACACACACACACACACACACACACACACACACACACAAACAAAACAAAAACAAAAACAAAACAAAACAAAACCTCACCAAAAACCAAAACAAAAAACCCTCAGAGCCTCCAGGCAAAAAAGAAAAATAACTTACAAGGGTAAGAGAATAAGACTGGCATCAGATTTTTCATAAACAATATACAAAGTAAGGCAGCATTTAAGAGACAAAACAAAATTTCAAGGAAAGCAAATATGAGCTAAGGATTCCATATCTAGCCAAACTGCTTTTCAAGTATCAACAAGGTTAACAGAAAAATTTTACATATTTAAGAGCTTAGAGAATTCTGTTCTCATGAGTCTATCTTGAAGAATAAAGATGAATTTTATCTAACCAAGAAGCTGACTGAGTAAACTTCAGCAAAAAACAAAACAAAACAAAAAACAAGTTATAAATCTCAGTTATAGTTGTAAGAATTAAAAAAAGAAAAAAATGTGGAGATAAGTATGGAAAAATAAAAATTTGTTATGATTTATTTCTATAAGTTATATGTAGAAATAAAATAGTCAAAATTTGAGGCAGATGAAAAAAGAGATGAACTCATTTATTAATGTATATGGTAAAAGATAGATAGGAGTTAACTTTTTCATTAAATAATTAAAAAAACCATTAAATAATCACAAACCAGATAGAATAAGGTTAAGTAAAAAGCAAGGTATGTGTGTGTTTATAAATAACCTCTAGAACAAAAGTGCAGTTTCCTAAATATCAAGAACTTAAAAACAAATCAGAAAAAAGAAAATGCATCATGCAGAGAAACACAGAAAATATAAGATAATATGCACAATAATGATGATGACAAAATAACAGAGGCGAGACCAAAAATGTAAGTCATATCAAAATGGGTTTAATTTGCTAAAGAGACAAAGACTTTCAGTTTGGCTTACAAATCAAGACCCAAGTATATTATATTCAAGGATACAGTTAAACAAAAAGATTCAGAAATGCTAAAATTAAAGGGATTGAACAAAGGTATACCAAGCAATTAAAACAAAAAATTAAAATGCTAAAAGCTATAATTCAAAATGAAGATAAAGTATTTGTCACTATCTATGTATCAACACCTTACAAATTAAAACTATAAGCCACACAAGGAAATCAAGAAACTTCAAGTAGATTAGGGAAAAAAAAATAAAATACAAAAATATAAAAAATGTAAATGAATTTCTTGTTTTGGCTGGCATCCCATCCCCAAGATATCTAACAATGTATATGCAAATATTTTAAAATCAAAAAATATCCAAAATTAAAAACACTCCTGAGCTGGGTGTGGTGGTACATGCCTGTAATACAAGCAACTCCAAAGGCTGAGGCAGGAGAATCACAAGTTCAAGGCCAGCCTGGGCAACTTAGCAAGACCCTGTCTCAGAATAAAAAATAGGATGTAACTCAGTGGTAAACCACCTCTGGGTTCAATAGCCAGTACCACAAACAACAAAACAAACAACCCTCCTAAAACAACAATAAAGAAAACCCACTTCGGTTCCTAAGCATTTCAGATAATGAAAACTCAATCTCATATATATGACTCTTTTAAAAATGAAGACTGTGTTTACCAAGAACTGTACAATCTGTCTAAGTGGAGTTTTAAATGGATATGAAGGGAACAAATTAAAAATTTTGAGGTAATCTAATGAAATCAGTGATTTGAAAGACAGCAGAAATAACATGGCAAAAATAAAAGTGTAAAAGGTATGTAGTCTACACAACAAAGAAACTGGGACTAGGTACAGAAACATGAAACCTTCCAAATTGTACAAATTAATGGGAAGACCATAAGAAGTAAATAAAGCATACTTGAGATTTCATGCAATACAAGATGACTAAGAAGAGGTAGTAACACTAATAACTGCAGAACAGAATTCAGGATTGGGATGTCACAAGGAAAAGAAACAGAATAATTTTCAGAGTTTTTTTTTTTTGTAATGGGGATTGAACCCAGTGTTGTTTAACCTCAGAGCCACATACCCATTCCCTTTTATTTTTTTATTTTGAGACACGGTCTCATTAAATTGCTTAGGTCCTTGCTAAATTGCTGAGGCTGGCTTTGAACTTGAGATCCTCCCGCCTCAGCCTCCTAAACTGCAGAGATTACAGGTGTGCACCACTAAGCCCAGAGTAGAGAAAAAATTAACAGAATCCAAAAGTAGCCTGTCTAACACAACTTTGTGCAATGATGGAGTGTTGAGTATTTGAAATATGTAAATGTGGGATTAAATTTTCAATGTAAATTCTTAATTTAGTTCAATTCTAATGTAAAGCCACATGTGTTTAATACCTACCACAACAGGCAGCATAAATCTAGTCTCCATATATTATATATAACATCTAGTATATAACTGAACAACAGGAAAATGGAACTCAGGCAAGAGGGAAAACATTCAATAGGAAGAAACTCTGTGATGACCCAGATATAAGATTTAGTAAAGACTTTAAAATAATTACAATAAGTATGTTGAGTCTTCAAAAAAAGATGCAAGTTACTGATAAAGAAATGTGGAATTTAATAAAAGCATGAAAACATTAAAAGACACCACAGAGAAACTCTAGATCTGATAAATACAATATCTGAGGTAATTAAAGGACCTCATAATGAATTTATGAAAGTAAATCCCATCTTGTAGAACTCTTTGGTGAACAGAGGAAATGTCTTCTCCTCTGTACCTATCTCTATGTATTTTACATACTTTGCTTACTAGAAATATCTTTATTTTCCACCAGAAACAATTTTACAAAATCAAGTGGCTCCCTTGAGAGGTAATGAATTCTTAAGAATTAATCTTCAGGTATAATTTGGCAGGATATAGTAAAATAATTATAAGTGGACAGAATGTTCTCCAGGGTTCCTTACAACCCTGTGATTCAAAGATTTTATCAAATGGCCTGAAATTTAAACTAAAACATAATTTAGCTATACTTAAATAATGGGAAGACATATTTCACACTATAATTTACTGTGAACACAAGGTGAATTAATTCATATCGTGTAGTTACATATGACTTTGCAAAATTAACAAAATACAAGTATTTTAAACTAGAAGACCACATATTAAATATCAAAATTTAAATTACCCTTTTGTCCATTTCATATGATGAAGCTTCTGTACTTGGCAAAAGGTGGGTGATAGTAGCTATTAGGATCTGTATGTGAAAATAAGTAAGTTCAAAATATGTTAATGATACATTTTAAAAATTAATTGTTATATGCTAAAGTGATGTAAAAGCTACTGCTGCAAATTTTTCCTAAATGCATTATTTAAATATATTACCCTAATATATACATTGCTTTTTTAAGGTAATTTATTTAATAAATAATCTTTTCAAGTACACATACTTATCAATCATTTATAATCTTCATGTATAGAAGTTACACATATATTTTGCCAACTACACATAATTTCATTCTATTCAATTATGAAAGTGGATCAATGCATATAAGTACACAATTATGTTAAAAAAATCAGAAGATACAGATAAACAAAAAGATTTACAAAAATCATTGCAATCAATCAGATCAAGAAATTACTGTCTTTCCAGATCTTCCTATACAGGTTGAGCACTTCTAATTTTAAAATCCAAAAATGCTTCAAAATCCAAACCCACTGGAGTACTAATATGCACTCAAGAAACTCTGTGTTTTGAAGCATTTCAAATTTTTGGATTAGGGATGCTCAATTGGCAAACTCTATGCAAATATTCCAAGTTCAAAAGAACCTGAATCTGAAACACTTGGGGTCAGAAACAAATACATGCTTAAAAAAATTTGTATCTTTTTCAATTTATGTATATTATATACATGAATCTAAAATAGTGAACATGAAGTAATAAAAAAGAAAGATATTATTAAAATGAGGCAAAAGAGATTATTAAAAAAATGTATCAGGGGCTGGAGATGTGGCTTATGGTCGAGTAACCCTGAGTTCAATCCCCAGTACCAAAAAAAAAAAAAAAAAAAAAGTATTAGAATAAATTTTTATTATACTTTTATTGCATATTATATTTTTAAAGCTTACTGTTTCAATGAATTAAATAGAAAACTTTTTCTAAATATATATTAAGAACTCAAAAAGCTCAATAGCAAAAAAACAAATAACTCAATTACAAAATAAGCAAAACACCTGAATAGACATTCCTCAAAAGAAGGCCTATGAAAGGTCAAGCATATGAAAAAATGCTGAACATCACTACTTATCAGAGAATTGCAAATCAAAACCAGAATGAGGGCTGGGGTATAGCTCAGTGGAAAAATGTGTGCATAGCATTCACGAGGCTCTGAGTTAAATTTCTAGTACTAAACAAACAAAAAATACATAATGGGATATCACCACACTCCAGTCAGAATGGCTATTATAAAAAGGCAGAGATAATGAATGTTGGTGAGGAGGTGGAAAAGGGGAATTTTTATACACTGATGGGAATGTAAATTAGTACAACCACTGTGAAAAACAGTACTAAAAATAGAAAACCAGGGTTGGGGCTGTAGCTCAGTGGGAGAGTGATTGCCTAGCACATGGGAGACATTGGGTTTGATCCTCAGCACCACATAAAATTAAAGGTATTGTGTCCATCTACAACTAAATTTTTTTTTTAAATAGAAAACTAGCATTAAAAATGAAAAATTGATGGGGCTAGAGTTGTGGCTCAGTGGCAGAGTACTTGCCTAGCATGTGTGAGGCACTGGGTTCAATTCTTGGCACCACAAATAAATAAACAAAATGGGGGTCCATTGACAACTAAAAAATATGTCTTTAAGAAATTAAAAACTGAACTACCATATGTTTCCTTTTGTTTCCAAAGGAAACAAAGTTGGAATGTGGAAGAGACAACACCTGCACTCCCATCTTCACTGCAGCACTAAGCTATGGAATCAACCTATGTGTCCATCAACAGAAGAATGGATAAAGAAAATGTGCTGTATGTATACACAATGGAATACTATTCAACGATAAAAAGATAAAATCCTATCATTTTAACAATATAGATGAACCTGGAGGACATTGTTAAGAGAAATAAGTCAAGCATAGAGACAAATATCTCATGATTTCACTTCTATGTAGAATCTAAAAAAGATGATCTTGTAGAAGTCGAGAATAAAATAGTAGTTACTATTGGAAGGGGAGAGTAGGGGTGCGGGAAGGACAGACAGAGCTTGATCAACATGTACAGTGTTAACATTAGACAGGAAAATAAATTCTGGTATTTTATTGCACAGGAGGGTAACAATAGCTAACAATAATGTAGTTTTTCAAAAGCTAAAAGTGAGGATGTTCAATGTTCTCACCACAAAAAATGATAAATGTTTAAGGTGATGGATATGCTGACAACCTTAATTTGATCATTATACAATGTATACATATATTGAAAAACCATACTATAACCCATAAATATGTGCATTTAATTTCCTCAACTCAAATGTAAAATTTAAACAATTAAATATGCTTTTTACAGAACAAGGCTTTTCTCCCCAGTTGAATCTAGTATTTTGGGTGCACTTGCTTCACACTGTTAATAAAACTAGGCTTTTACCCATAATTCTGTGAATAGGTAACCATTAGTGAAATGCTTCAGTATTCTGTGATTTTATTTCTTCAACTACAGGTGGGGAGTAATAACTATTATAGGCTCTGGCCACTATAAAATATAGTAGAACAATTTGCACAGATATATTATTAAATGTTTGTGATATATAGGTTGATGAAGAAAATAAAGAAAAGCATATGGAGGCTTTCATATTGAAAAAAAAGTGTTTAAAGAACCACCTTAATTTTTACACAGAATATCAATCTTCAGTGGTTAAATTTTCCAAAGGTTTCAAAATTTCAAACGTTTTATTATTAGACACACAAATGTACATTCACATTCAGTCACTGTGTCCCACATAACATAATAACAGCTGCATTTATTAACATTTATATTTCATCACTTATAAGCCAAAAAAGTGCTAAGTGCTTTACATGTAATTTTTTCATTTAGCTTTTTTCCTACCACTGAGCTAAATCCCCAGGACTTTTTAAAAAAATTTCACACATGGTCTCACAAAGTTGCTGAGTCTGACCTCAATTTACAATCCTCCTTCCTCAGGCTCCCGTTGGCTTTAGTCTTTAAAGCAACCTGTGAGGTAAATTTTCATCCTAGATATGAAGTGTTCAGCTTTCAATGGGCTTAGTAACTTGTCAACAGTTTAAAAGTCAGTACACAGCAGAGTAAGTGGTTAATTAAATCCAGGTGTGTCTACTCCCAAACCTAATCTCTTAACCATAAACTATTTCAAGTCAATAGATACTAAATATTTTCTACATAAAAGTCACCCTAGACAAAAGATAGTAAAGATAAAAAATATGTTAAGGACCCTAAAATTTTATACATGATCATTTGGTCTCATTAAAATTTTTAATGTGCATATTAAAAATGTAGTTATAAGTTTATTGTATTTTCATTGTAAGTTATATTTTTATAAGTTATTACTTTGATGCATTAAGTACAAAAATTGTTCTAAATGTACTTCATATAGGAAAAGGCTTTATTCACTATTCTGTTATAGAGACTAATGAGTGACATGCATGAGTGAGGAAAGCTTGTACTTCAGATTCTCAGACTTCGTTAGAATTCTGTTTCTGTCCTGTTAGTTTGTGACTTTATATAGTTACTAAGCCTTTAATTCCCTTATTTTAAATAAGTGAGGTAGGAAGGGAATAATCTTCTACCTCAAAAAATATGTAAGAATTAAATAAAATATTTATGAAAAGATACTGATAGGGTGACTGGTAGATGGTAAGGTGATCAATAAATATTTGTGTTCACCTTTCCTAGAAATGTTATAAGAATACAAAGATAAAAAAGATAAATTCTGATTAGGAAGATCAGACAGGAAATTCTATTTTTTTGAGGAGATGGTATTTAAGCAAATTACTGAAAGATAAGGGGATAGAGAGAAGTAAACCATTTCAGATAAAAGGAAGAAAGAGTATGTTTAAGCAATGGTAAGCATATTCAGTTGCCTGGACAACATGGAACTTCAAAGAAATCTGCACGATTCTGGAAAGGCAGGTTGGGTCCTTGCCTGGAGGTTTTGAATTCACACCTAAAAACTGGGATCTATTTTATAGTAAAAAAAACACCCAGAGATTTTGTTCCTATTTTTTTCAGGTAAGTGACATGATAAAAGTCATATGAATGCGGGGCTGGGGCTGTAGCTCAGTGGCACAGCGCTTGCTGAGCATGTGTGAAGCATTGGGTTCAATCCTCAGTGACACACAAAAACAAATAAATAAAATAAATGTGTTGTGTCCATCTACAAATACAAAAAATAAAATAAATTTTAAAAAGTCATATTAATATGAATTATGACTTGTAGGAAAAGACTGTACAGGAGAGAAGGCTACTGTAATATCTCACAGAAAAATAATAAAGAGCTGAAATATGTTATGTGTTGTAGAAAATACGAGAGACAGTGAAAAAATAATTAGGATGAAAAAATAACAATCTCATAAATGATTGACAGAAAAAGAAAAAAGAATAATGCTTTGATTTAGGTAATGGAAGGATGGCATGTTTTCCTCACCTAAGAGAGTAAAGGAAGCAGAATATACATTTGCAAAGACAATGGCATAAAAAGTTTACATGTAGTATTTCATTTTCACTACTATTAATAAGTGAAATTTGTAATAAATTCTTTTTTAATGATTTTACTTTGAAAACCAGGAACACAAGTTTCTAACATAAACACAATGAGACAGGATTTTTGATATTACAAAAAAGCATGCAAAAATTTTTAAAACTTATTGAATAACTTTATATCTATATCTAAGAATATTTCTAAAAAAGAAATGAGAAACTACTTACTTGAATAATTTTCAAGGGAGAATCAGGTTGGTAAATTTGAAGTCTAGGTACATAATGAACCAGCATGTGAAGCATGCTGCAAGCCACTTGGGCTACTGTTTTATTCGTAAACTGCAATAACAAGAATAAATCATTGTTTAATATAAAGTTTCTTCATGATACTCTGGTTTCTTTTCAGATTCTATAAATCTTTGGCCTTTTATTAAGAAATTTCTTCATGAACTATTTATTCATCAGTGCATTAGCTGACTAAAAAATTTTAAATTTCATACATACTTTTTTGGTCATCATACATTTATAAGCGTTTATTAAAATCTTAGGAAGATAAGCCTTCAATTGCAAAATTTAAAAAAAGTCACAATGCATTCCAAAAACATATACACTTTTACTTTTTCTTTGTAATGTTTGACTGTCCTCATTAAACTTTTATTAAATGTTTTCTTACCTGAATTTGTGCACTGGTCTCTAATTACTAATCTTGTTATCAATTTTTCTACTGTTTGTTTGAATGTACTCTTTACAATATTTCCAAATTAAATTTCTAAAGTATTGTTTGATCCTGGCATTCTCTATACTTAAAACTCTCAGATGACTCTCCAATAGCATTATAGTTTGGATATAAGGTGTCCCCCCAAAGCACCTGTGTTATGCAGGAATATTCAGAGGTTAAAATGATTAGATTATGGAAGCCATAATCTAATTAGTCCATTCTAATTTGAATGGAATAACTGGGTGGTAACTGTAGAAAGGAGGTGGGACATGGCTGAAAGAGACAGGTCATTGAGGGGCATACCCTAGAAGAGTTATTCCCTGTGACTCTCCCTCACATCACCCCACTACTTCTGGCCTCCATGAGCGGAACAGATTCCCTCTGCCTCTCCCTTTCACCATGTTTTGCCTCACCATGGGCCCAGAGCAATGGTGTTGGTCAACCACAAACTAAATCTCTGAAACCATAAGCTAAAAATAAACTTTCCTTCTCTAAGAAGTTCTTGTCAGGTATTTGGATCACAATGATGAAAAGCTGACTAACATAAATGGCATAAAGTCAAGCTTTTTATGCTTATCTATGTCCAAATTTCACTCTCTCAAGTTCCAAATTCCTCCTCTTTTCCAAAAATTTCTCTGATAACTAAGACAAAATTTCTGCTTCCTCCAAACTGCAGTTCAAACGCACCATTCATCTAGTATTCTTAGCTTTACCTACTTTGTTAACACTTATTTTAATCTTTTTTCTTTCTGCAAAACCTTTTTTTAATTTTTTTTATTTCTTACATACATGACAATAGTGGAATGCATTACAATCATAATTATCCATTCACAACACAATTTTTCGTAACTCTGTATATAAAGTATGTTCACGTCAAATTATGCCATTATACATGAGCTGTCATTATTATTACTATTATTATTATTATTTTGCATTACAATTCTTTTTTTTTTTAATTGGTTGTTCAAAACATTACAAAGCTCATGACATATCATCTTCCATACATTTGATTCAAGTGGGTTATGAACTCCCATTTTTTTACCCCAAATACAAGTTGCAGAATCACATCGGTTACACATCCACATTTTTACATAATACCATATTAATGACTGTTGTATTCTGCTACCTTTCCTATCCCCTACTATCCCCCCTCCCCTTCCCTCTCATCTTCCCTCTCTACCCCATCTGCTGTTGTTTAATTCTCTCCCTTGTTTTTTTTTTCCCCTTTCCCCTCACAAACTCTTATATGTAATTTTGTGTAACAATGAGGGTCTCCTTCCATTACCATAGTTTCCCTTCTCTCTCCCTTTCTCTCCCCCCACTCGTCTCTGTTTAATGTTAATCTTTTCCTCATGCTCTTCTTCCCTGTTCTGATCTTAGTTGCTCTCTTTATATCAACGAAGACATTTGGCATTTGTTTTTTAAGGATTGGCTAGCTTCACTTAGCATAATCTGCTCTAATGACGGTAGGGGCGGAGGGAAACAGAGGACTTTATTTTAATCTTTTCAGTTATATCTACATCTGTCTATATCTTGAAGCTAGTATTTTATATACTAATATAAAATATAATGTAATTTTATATTACATTATCCTTTACTTTGCCTAGCAAAGTGCCTGAATATGGTACATATTCAGAAATACCTGTCAGATAAATACTATTACTATTCAAAAATATTTATTAGGTAAATTTTATGTTTAAACACATACTGTATTAAAATTTTTAAGACAAAAATAATATCAAGCATCCTCTGATTAAAAAAATATCCATTTATCAATTAAGGTTCTCTAAATCATTACTACTTCTGAAAAAAATCTTATTCTGGGGAGGGTGGGAGGAAATGCTGGGGAGTGATATTGGCCAAATTATATTGTTATATTGTGTGCATATATAAATATGTAACCATAAATTCCATCAATATGTACAACTATTACGCACCAATAAAAAATGTGGAAAAAAATCTTATTCTGGTTACAAAAGAGGGCATTTGAATGATAAGCCAAGAGTTGAATAGCTCAAGAATTTCATAAATGTTAAAAATCAAGAGTAAGTTACAAAAATACTAGTTAAAAAAAAAACAAACAAAAAAATTCCTTTATGTCTTAAAGGACTGGTTTCCTTCTTAGGAGTCATCCATATGTATTTTAAGGAAAAATTCAAATCCAAAAGAAGTTGTATGGTAGGTCTCCTACTTAGTGACATCTCCAGGCTGGGACCATTCTTAAATCATTCTTAAAGTTTCAGGATCAAGGAAAAAATGTAATAAATGAAGACATTTATTATAAATTATTCAAGAGCACAAGATAAAATTAACATTTAAAGAAAAAATAACTATGCGTTCTTAATAAATGTCACTAAAAAGTTGTCTTTACCTTTAAGGAAACACAAATTACATTCAGAGCTTCTTTAATTTGAGGATGATGAGACTCATGGACTAGTTCTTCACAAATCCAAATACCTAAACTGCAAAGTGCTACACATCTGCAAAAAAGGCAACAAACAATGATACAAATAAAAGTGCAGGAGTCTTTCAGTAAAATGAAATCACCACCACACCAATCAAGTGACACAGAATGAACATGCACTGTATAAGTGATTTAATAAATTTGTTATTCTATTGGTGATTAAGGAAGAGAAGGGGGGGGAGCCTAACCCTTAAATCCTAAAATGAATTTTCTATTATAATCTACTACTCAAGGTCACAGGGTCAGATAACACATGGCATCTTTCTAACAAAACCATGTTAATAAAATGACAAAACTGTAAGGTTTTCCAAACAAATATTTAACCTGCTTTCAAAAGGAAAGAGTGTAATTTTATTGACTGGCAACAGTAAAATGAATTTAAGTAAAAACATGAAGTTGATGGAGTAAGTAAAATACTATTGTTGTACCTTTTAAATTGAACACAACTGGCCACAAATTCTTTTAAAAACTATTTGAAAACACAAAATTCATATAATTTACAACGTAATTCCAACAAAAACAGGACTTGTAGAATTTTTGTTCTGTTCTCTAATGTCTGGCAACATCTGAATCAGGAAGAATTCTATCAGCATGTTCAAGTTTAGGATTCTGATAAAGTATATAATGGTTCTAAGTCCAAAAAAAAAATATTTTTCTACTTGAACACAGCAGATCAGTCTCTTCTCACAGTGTAAAGTGCTAGAGTACTACTAAATTTTTTACTATTAAAACTGCCAAAAAGTCTTCATAGTAAAGTCAACTGCTTTATTTCTTCCCTACTGTTGTCTACCCATAAGTTCTAGGTAATATTCATAATCAGTTTCAAGTTTAGCAATGGAAATACCTATAGTTCTAAAACAACAATAAACTCTGAAGTACAGCAAAGCTCTCCATGGATTCAACTAACTAAAGGCAGAGGCTGGAGTACAAATGCTGAACAATTTTTGTTGTAACAAGAGGTAAGAACGGGATGTTTCTATTTTTTTGTTTGTGTTTTTGGTTTTGTATGTACAGAATTTTCTCCCTTTTCCAAATTGTCAAGATAATCAAGATTATTCACATTACTCCTGCTCAGATTTTGGAGTATAAGCTTCTAAAAAGAGGTCCATTACACAAAGGTATAGAAAAACAAGTTCAATTTCTGAGGTTGTTCAACACTCAAACAAGCTGTTATGTTAATCATTCCTTGATCTATATCTGAGCGGCTGTTTTAGTTTTCCACATTCCTTCACTTAAGAGTCAACATAGTTTAAAAGAAAAAAGAGATTTAGGATCCTAAGCTCTATGTTCAATCCTAGTTCTGCCACTTACTAATTATGCGTCAATGGAAAGAGAGTAGAATGAATTGGACATAACTTTCATATGTTCATATATGAATACACTACCAGTAAAACTCCATATCATGTACAACCACAAGAATGGGATCCTAATTAGAATAAATTACACTCCATGTATATATAATGTGTCAAAATACACTCTACTGTCATGTATATCTAAAAAGAACAAATAAAAAAAATAATTTATTTAAAAAAATAATACATTTACTCATGCATTGTTGGTGGGACTACAAATTGGTACAAGCACTCTGGAAAACAGTATGGAGATTCCTCAAAAAAAAAAAAGGAGTGGAACCAACTTTTGACCCAGTTATTCACTCCTTGATATATATTCAAAGGATTTAAATTCAGCATACTACATACTACAGTGACATAGCCACATCAATGTTTATAGCAGCACAATTCACAATAGTTAA